ATAGGTGTCTCATCTCTTCCTCAAAATGAAGGTTCCCAGGTCCTTGGGAAAGGCATTTGTAGGCCATAAGGTTGGCAAAAGGTCTAAGTAATTTCCAAATGATATATGCATTTCAAAGACAGGGGAAGCAGTTACAATCTCAAGTTTAAGTAGTTACAATCACAAGTTTCTAAAGAAATGCTCTATGAAAGGGAAGAGAGGGGAATCTCTTCTCTAATTTTCAAGAGGAAAATTAAATTTCCTACTTTTCTATTTATAGTGAGGTTTTTATTTTGCTATAGAGCATGTGTGCTCGTCAGACGGAAATGGGGGGTGGGAGGGGAAAACAGGGAAAGTGAGAAATCACCTCCCAGCACGGATGGCCACACTGCAATCCCTTCTCCATTGTTCTCTCAAGTGTTTGAGCCTGTGTACCTGGCAAATTACTAAAGCTGCTGGGTCCAGGATTTGAACCATGCAATTGGCCATGTGGAATTCAGCACCTTAACTACCACATCACCTGCTTGTCCAAGCATCTCACATTTTAAAAAGTTTATTTATTTGGGGACCAGCAGATGACATAATGGTTACATAGCTGGATTCCCATAGAGTGGACCATGGTTCTAGTCCCACACCCGGCAAAAAACCACCAGGAAAATTCGAGGAGTCAGAAGCCGAAGAAGCACAGAAAGGGACAGGGGCTGGACGGGAAGCTCACGGGCAGCAGCCCCGGATGCCAGTGGCTCTGGAAGGAGGAGGACTGGGGAGAACAGGAGCAAGGGCGGCCTGCAGGGGAAGGGCAGGATGGAGGTGGGGGCTCTGGAGGGGATGCCAAGGAAGAGACAGGAACCGCTGCAGGAAAAACAAAGCGCAAGCATGTAGAGGCTGAGACAGAGTGTAAGAAGGGAAAGATCAGGGGCCGCAGGTGGCGTGGTGGTTAAGGGGGCTTGGATCCCATGTGGCGGATTGCAGTTTGAGTCCCAGACCTAGCGACTTGCTTTCTCACTTTCCCTCTCTTTCTTGCTGTGTCTCTCTCTCTAATCAAAATAAAATTAAGGAAAGAATGAATATAGATATATAGAATGTTAAAATAATTCTTAAAAAAAAAGATGAGCCCCAGGGTATTCTGAAGGTGGAGAGTGAGAAGACCATGAGGCTCCTGCAAAAGGTAAATTCCCCTGGAAGGGAACTATGAGAGCAGTCCTGAGGCAGGCCCAGACAGTGACATTGCAATCAAAAGCTAAGGAAAAGGTTTTAGCACAGAACTGTACAGTGACAAATGAACATCGCAGATTGGAAGGGGAACTCCTGGTCATATTTAACAAGGAAATCAGCAAGAAAACCACTTTTAAGTTTTAAACTACAAAGTCAAGTTTTTAAAATGTCTATATTGAAAACATTGAATTCTGTTAACTTTTTTTCACTGTTGTTTATAAAATGTGTAATAATTATAACAATTCAAATTTTTGCTTTCAGAAGATGTATTTTTAAGTTGAGGAAAAATGTATTTTTTATAGTACATTTATGAAAAAATATAAAATATTTTCTTAGTAAAAAAAAACACATAGAAAAATACATCATGATGTTTCCAATAATCCAATATATGTTTTCTTTCTGTCTTTTCGATTTGTTAGAGGGCGTGTGCTTGCCAGAGAGAGACAGAGAGACAGGGATGGAGGGAGAGGGAGAAAGCTCCCCTGTGGGGCATCATCACAGTGCGACTTCTTCTCCTCCATTTCTTCCCCCTTTCAGGAATTTGGGCACACGTGTCAATGGGCCTGGCATGTTTCTCCAGTCTCCAGGTCTGGGACTTGAACCGTACTGTCGGATCCAGCTCCCCTTAACCCTCAGGCCATGGGCCGGCCCTACAAATATGTTTTCAAGATACACCATACCTAGTCTTCAAGTAAGAGGATGTGAAGCTCCATTTGTCACACATGGCTCCTCCTAAGTTAACCTGGTAGTTGGAGTGATTGTCTGTGTGAGCGATTTGACTTTGAGGGGAAACAAACCTTGCACATCTTTGTGACAGAAGGGGGTTTCACAAGTTGAAGCGAGATGCCCACTGAATGAGGCACCTACCCTCCTAGAGAATGGGAAGATAGGTGTCTCATCTCTTCCTCAAAATGAAGGTTCCCAGGTCCTTGGGAAAGGCATTTGTAGGCCATAAGGTTGGCAAAAGGTCTAAGTAATTTCCAAATGATATATGCATTTCAAAGACAGGGGAAGCAGTTACAATCTCAAGTTTAAGTAGTTACAATCACAAGTTTCTAAAGAAATGCTCTATGAAAGGGAAGAGAGGGGAATCTCTTCTCTAATTTTCAAGAGGAAAATTAAATTTCCTACTTTTCTATTTATAGTTTTATTTTTATTTTGCTATAGAGCATGTGTGCTCGTCAGACGGAAATGGGGGGTGGGAGGGGAAAACAGGGAAATCACTTCCCAGCACGGATGGCCACACTGCAATCCCTTCTCCATTGTTCTCTCAAGTGTTTGAGCCTGTGTACCTGGCAAATTACTAAAGCTGCTGGGTCCAGGATTTGAACCATGCAATTGGCCATGTGGAATTCAGCACCTTAACTACCACATCACCTGCTTGTCCAAGCATCTCACATTTTAAAAAGTTTATTTATTTGGGGACCAGCAGATGACATAATGGTTACATAGCTGGATTCCCATAGAGTGGACCATGGTTCTAGTCCCACACCCGGCAAATTAAAACTCACAACAGGTATGTGTGTGTGTGTGTGTGTGTGTGTGTGTGTGTGTGTGTGTGCTGAAAATTCAGAAAGGAGAATGGAGAAGAAGGAATTATGGTGTGGCCATCCTTCGGGGGTGGCGGGGGCGATTTTTCACTTTCTGTCTATTCTGTCTATCCAGCAAATGTACACGTCCTATAGCAAAAATCTTTCTCTAAAAAAAGAATTTATTATTTCTTCAGAGAGAGACCCCCAACAGGGTCTTCACACCATGATCTACCCTCAGCCTCAACTGAACTGCATCATGGGAACACACACACACACACACACACACACTCTCTCTCTCTCTCTCTCTCTCTCTCTCTCCTGCCTGGCCCTTATATTTAATTTTTATTTGTCCTGTACACTGTCAGTTGAAGAGGTCATCTTTGGGACTTTACCTGGGGCTGTTCACATTTCTGTGGCCAGTTAGCTGCTGGCTGATCCAGGACAGCCTCAGCTGAAAAGGCTGGGGTGCCCATCAATGAGTCCCATCCTCCAGCGCCAGCCCAAGCCCGTCCACCCCATGGAAATGGCAGAGGGAGAAACCAAGGGGGCAGCACTTTCTCAGCCTCTGCTCTGGGCACTGAGCTGCTCTCTCATTGGCCACATCAGGTCACATGACCGAGCCCAGCAGCAGAGTGAGGCGCTGAGAAGTATGGGCAGCCTGTAAGTGGGCTAGCTGTAAACAAGGCAAGAAGGGGCATTTTAATAATTAATTTATCATACATTGGGCAAAATTATGGATTCAACTATGGAAATCTGATATGTGAAGAATCATGTAGAGATAACCCAGAGGAATGTATATATAAGGGAAAGGAAATTTAGAAACAGGGACATCTTTAAAGTTAATAGAATTTTGGAGATAATTTGTAAAGATGGGTCTGGAACAGACGCTGGGAGGGTGTGGGGTGAGAGGAGCGGAGGTTCACAGACGGGACCGAGGACCAAATTCCTCCTCCTGTGTCTCTGGGCCTCGGTCTTCCCACCCGCCTGGTTGGGGAGAAAAGCCCCGCCCTCTATGCCCCCAGGGTCCCTGTGCTCCCCCTGAGGTCCCTGTGTGTCCCTGTGCCCTGCCCTCCCTGGGGCCGCCTTCCCCACACCACCCCTAGAGGGCGCGCTGACAGGCTCCCCTGGGCTGTCCACGTGGAGGCTCCACTGGGACCCCTGGGCCCACGTCAGGCTCCAGGTCCCCACAGCTGTTCTCCCGCAGGGGTGGGCTCTGCCCCTCAGGTGCACATCCGAGGGCCCGAGGAGGACGGGGTGCGCGTGGTGTGCACGGCCTCAGGGTGGTTCCCGAAGCCCCAGGTGCAGTGGAGAGACCTCAGGGGAGAGAAGCTGCAGGACAGGGGAGGGCCGGCCGCCCTGAGTCTGCGGGGTGTCCTGGAGCGCCCTTGACCTGCTCCCCACCCTCTGGCTGCAGAGCCCTTCTTCCCTCAGGCCTCTCTCTGGAAATCAGCTTTTGTCGTGAGCCTGATTGTGCTGGGGCTCCTGCTCTGTGGGGCTGGCTGTTTCCTGAAGAGAGAACGTTCTGCAAAGTTGCAGGAGCAGCAGGCA